TGGAGGTTCCACCGAGATATCTCCACCGAGATATCTCTCTTCGTGAGGGAGACCCCAACAGTCTTCTCTCGGGGTAAGTACGGCCTCTGGCCTTTGTTTCTTTGGAGTGTGATCACCTAGGGTATATTCAAGGAGCCAACGGCAGTTGATACCGAACCTGGACCACCAAAAGAACCATGGACTTGGGGAAAGGAAAAGTTCAACATTCCTTCCTAGTCATACCTGAGTGTCCTGCCCCCTTGATGGGGAGAGATCTCTTAACAAAGCTGTGAGCAAGAATCACATTCAACCCCAAAGGGCCAGAGGTTAAATTTTTAAACCCAGTGGTGAGCCAGCCTGTAGTTACCGCCCTCATCTTATCAGCTGAAGAAGAATATCAGCTGTATGTAGGGCCAGAGTGATCTCAAGAACATGTTCCCCAGGAATGGCTCGATGAATTCCCTGACTCCTGGGCTGAAATGGCGGGGCTAGGATTGGCCATAAACCAGCCCCCGGTGGTGGTTACCTTAAAGACCTCTGCTACTCCGATTCGAGTCAGGCAATATTACATGAGTAGGGAGGCACGAGAAGGGATCAGACCCCATATACAAAAACTTCTTAAGTTGGGAGTGCTTAGGCTTTGCCAGTCGGCTTGGAACACCCCCCTGCTACCGGTCAAAAAGCCCTGGACCGAGGACTACCGACCGGTACAAGACCTGAGGGAAGTAAACAGTAGAGTACAAGATATACACCCTACTGTGCCAAACCCTTATAACTTGCTTAGCACCCTCAACCCTGAAAGGACCTGGTATACAGTACTTGATCTAAAGGATGCCTTTTTCTGCCTACCTCTGCACAAAGATAGCCAGTCCTTGTTTGCTTTTGAATGGACAGATCCTAAAACAGGGTTCTCGGGCCAGCTAACATGGACACGTTTACCACAGGGGTTCAAAAATTCTCCCACCATCTTTGATGAAGCCCTCCACAAGGACTTAAGCTTCTTTAGGACCCAACACCCTGAAGTTACCCTGCTCCAATATGTAGATGACCTACTATTGGCAGCAAATACTAAAGAGGACTGTAAATTTGGAACTCGGGAGTTACTGAGAGAACTGGCTAAATTAGGGTACCGAGCCTCAGCGAAGAAGGCCCAAATTTGTAAGGAGGAAGTAACATTCCTAGGATATACCCTTAAGGATGGGAAGCCAGAAAAAAGACTATAACCCAGATTCCCCCGCCCACGAGTCAAAAGCAGCTACGTGAATTTTTGGGGACCGCGGGGTTTTGCCGATTATGGATCCCAGGATTTGCGTCCCTTGCCTCCCCACTTTATCCCCTGCTAAAAGGAGATGCTGTCTTTCAGTGGGGACCGGGAACAACAAAAGGCCTTCGATGATATAAAGAAGGCGCTCCTGTCTGCCCCAGCCCTAGCTCTCCCAAATGTGGAAAAGCCATTCACCCTGTACATAGAAGAAAAAAAGGGCATAGCTCGAGGGGTATTAACTCAGGCTTTGGGACCCTGGAAGAGACCGGTGGCCTATTTGTCCAAGCAGCTAGACTCAGTTGCCAGTGGATGGCCACGCTGCCTCAAAGCAATCGCGGCCACCACCCTCCAAAGACGCGGACAAGCTCACCCTAGGCCAAAGGTTAACTATCGTGGCCCCACATACACTGGAGAGTGTTATCCGCCAACCCCCTGACCGATGGCTGTCTAATGCTAGGATTACCCACTGTTAAAGTGTTCTTTTGGACAGAGACAGAATAACTTTTGGATCCCCCTCTGCCTTAAATCCTGCCACCCTACTCCCGGATGAGGCCTTAGGACCTGTATACCTGCCAGGAGATCCTAGTAGAAGAAACCGGAATCCGCCAAGATTTAAAGGACCAGCCCCTGCCCAACTCAGAGGTAACCTGGTTCACGGATGGAAGCAGCTTTCTCCAGGATGGTAAGAGACGAGCGGGGGCGGCGGTGGTGGACAAATCCAAAGTTATCTGGTCTTCTGGACTGCCGGAGGGAACATCAGCCCAAAGAGCTGAGCTTAAAGCCCTCGCTAAAGCCCTAGAACTTGCAAAAGGAAGGCGGGCAACCATCTACACCGATAGCCGCTACGCCTTCACTACCGCACACATTCATGGAGCCATTTATCAACAGAGGGGCCTGCTCACCTCGGCGGGCAAAGATATTGAAAATAAGAAAGAGATCCTCAGATTGCTAGCTGCCGTCATGCTCCCCAAAGAACTAGCCATAGTTCATTGCGCTGGCCACCAGAAAGGATCAGATCCGGTGGCAACGGGTAACAGGCAGGCAGATGAAGAGGCAAAAGCAATTGCATCAAAAGACTCAGGGGAAATGTTCCTGGTAGCGAAGGAACGTCGGAAGCCCCTCCAATCGGTGCCTGAACCCCTGCCGTCAGACAAATTAAAAGCCCTAACCTACTTACAGCAGGTCCATCAAGTCACTCACTTAGGATCCAGAAAACTTCAGCAGCTCCTGCAAGATCAGGATAAAACTATCCCAGCTTCAACGCGAAAAGAGCTGGCAGACCAAGTAATAAAAAGGTGTCGGGCATGTCAGATTGTAAATGCCTATCCTTCTAAGGTACCAACAGGAAAAAGGCTAAGAGGAACCCGACCTGCACAATTTTGGAAGGTTGACTTCACCGAAATCAAACCTGCAAGGTATGGACTCAGGTATTTGTTAGTTTTTGTGGATACCTTCTCAGGATGGGTAGAAGCTTTTCCCACTAAGAGGGAAACCGCCCAAATGGTGGTCAAGAAGATCATGGAAGAAATCTTCCCTCGGTTTGGCCTGCCCAAGGTAATAGGGACAGATAATGGACTGGCATTCGTGGCTCAGGTGAGTCAGGGTGTGGCCAGGATATTGGGGATTGATTGGAAGTTACATTGTGCATATAGACCCCAAAGCTCAGGACAGATAGAGAGAATGAATAGAACCATTAAGGAGACCTTGACCAAATTAGCTGTAGAGACTAGCTTAAAAGATTGGACCATGCTCCTACCTATGCCCTCTTTAGGGCCAGAAACACCCCTTCTTCTTCTGTGTGCAACTTGACTCCTTTCAAGGTTTTATATGGAACACCTCCTCCGGTAGGAGATACGTTCCCTATCCCAGAGGGTGATGACTCTTTTCACACCCCCTTGCTTGACAGGTTAAAAGCCCTAGAAAAAGCCCAGAGATTCCTGTGGCGACAACTTTCCACCTCTTATCAGCTGGGGGACGAAGCAACCCCACACCAATATCAGGTGGGAGACTTCGTCTATGTACGCCGCCACCAGGTACGAACTCTTGAACCTCGCTGGAAAGGACCATTCCAGGTACTTTTGACTACCCCCACTGCGGTCAAGGTTGATGGCATTGCATCTTGGATCCATGCGTCCCATCTCAAGCCAGCCCTCCCACCTTCGGGCCTGCACTGGAAACTGGAAAAGACTGATAATCCTCTTAAATTACGGGTCCGCCATGTGGCTGGGAACCCTGCTCCCCCAGGGGAGCAGTGTTCCTAATCCCCACCAGCCATGGAGGTGGATGATTACCTGTTGGGAGGACAGCAAGCTTATAAAAGCCTGGGAGGGATCAGGGGAACCAGGTTTTACGGTCTACTCCTGTGACCTTGCTCCCGTAACACCCTGTCTTAATCTGATTCCTATTTACATGTGCCCCTCGTCCAACCCGGGAAAAGGATATTGTAATAGTCCAGGACACTATTATTGTGCCTATTGGGGCTGTGAAACAATAGCCACAGCCTGGACACCCTCGTCCCGAGACCAATACCTTCAACTACAGTGGGGCCCACAAGGTTGCACGCCCTTAGATTATTACAGGGGAAAAAAAGTAACTTGCCAATACTTGATCATCAATATCACAAACCCAGAGGACCCCAATTGGCTGGTCGGACGCACCTGGGGCCTCCGATATTGGGAGCAAGGGATAGATAGAGGAGGCCTAATACTTGTCAAAAAGGAACCAATATCCCCAAGGACCGTAAACGTAGGTCCGAACCCCGAACTCAAGCCCGGTAATCCTCAACCTTCTGCAAGACCTCGGCCCCTCATACCCCTGGCCTCAACTGCATCCGCAGGTGCCCAGATCAAGGAGCAGAGGCGACCCCTGACCTCCACTGCTCCAACAGGCAGCCCTATTCCATCCCATACCCCCACTGCTCCAGCCATCCAAGCTCCTGACACTGACAAGTTATATAATCTCATTGTGGGAGCATATTCAGTCCTTAATTACACTCAGGGTACACTGACCCAATCCTGTTGGCTCTGTCTAACTGCCTCTCCACCTTATTATGAAGGAAAGCTGTTAATGGGACCTACAATATAACTTCTATCTCCTCATGTGACTGGCAGAGGAATCATAAATTAACCCTCCCAGAAGTGTCTGGCCAAGGGACGTGTCTGGGGCGACCTCCCAATGAGGCCTACCAGGCACTGTGTTCACAAATAATCCATGTGAATTCCTCCACGAGTGCCCAATACTTACTTCCACCCCAGGGGACCCAATGGGCCTGTAATACTGGCCTCACCCCTTGTGTCTCTACCCAAGTGTTTAACAATTCAGCCCATTTTTGTGTCATGGTAAAAGTATTTCCCCGGATTTTATATCACCAAAGTGATGAATTTGAAAAGGAGATAGAAGGAAAAACTAGATTCCAAAGGGAACCTGTGTCGCTGACCCTGGCAGTTCTAATGTGCCTGGGTGTTGAAACAGGAGTAAGGACAGGGACTGCAGCTATAGTACATGGATCCCAACAGGTCTCAAAGTTACAGGCTGCCATTGATCAAGACTTGAAGGCCTTAGAAACATCAGTAACCGCCCTACATGAATCTTTGACTTCCCTGTCAGAGGTAGTACTATAGAACAGGCGTGGGCTAGACTTATTGTTTATGAAGGAAGGTGGCCTATGTGGTGCCTTAAAGGAAGAATGCTGCTTTTATGCAGACCATTCGGGAGTAGTCAAAGAGTCCATGACCAAACTTAGGGAGCGCCTCCGGGAAAGAAAAAGAGAACGGGAGGCACAACAAGGATGGTTTGAGTCTTGGTTCACTCAGTCCCCTTGGCTCACTACATTGCTGTCTGCTTTGGCAGGACCATTAATTGTACTACTTTTAATAATAACCATAGGACCGTGTGTCTTAAACAGGATAGTTAACTTCTTACAGAGCCAAATTGGAAATGTCAAGTTGATGCTTATCAGACAACAATACTCGGTTCTAAACGGCCCTGAGGAGCTCTCTAATCTCTAGGATTAGAGATTTACACAAGAAGAAGTGGGGAATGTAAAGGAAAAATTTTATGGGAGCCAGCTGTCATC